ATTAAAAAAATATTTAGTAGAATAGAATATCTTATTCTCTGAGGATATGCTGATAGTCTACTTGAAACTGGTGAATTTTCAGTTGTTTCTTTTTTTGTGGGGGAGGGGTCTTTTTGAGACAGGGTCTCCCTGTAGCCCCAGTTGTCCTGGAACTCACTATGTATACCAGGCTGGCCTTGAACTCACAGAGATCCGCCTGCCTCTGCCTCTGCCTGCTGGGCTTAAAGGCATGCACCACCACAACCAGCCTTCAGGTGTTTCTTAAAAAAAATAAATTTCATTTGTAAATTCAGATGGAGACAGATAGGAAGGTGGATACTTAGTTTTCCACTAGTCTGACAAATAACTAAGATAAATCTACTTAAAATTATAAAAAAATTATTTTAGCTCACAGTTTGGTAATTTTAATGTATTATATATTGACACTATTGTATGGGGCTTGGACTGAGGTAGCACCTTGTGGCAGAATTGGAGTATGTAGCAAAATTCTTCATCTCATATCAGGAGCACAAAAAGGGGGAAAAGTAAGTTTATAAGGTTTTCTCAGTTTCCTCCAAAGGGATGTTCCTCAAAACAGAGCCTCCCATGCAGCCAAGCACCTTAAAGTTTCCAATACTACCCATTAGTCCCATGTTGTATACCAAAACTTTCTGTTTTTATTTTTTATAGAACTTTAAATCATTCCAGGATGAACAAACACAGGATAAAGAAAAATAATAATTCTATAAGTACAATCAATGTAATCGTGACTACAGAAAAATTCATATCACATATAGACTGAGTTTGCATGAATATAAACATACATGAATATGTACCTTTGCATTTTGATACACACAATATGATAGTAATTACAGCCCCCTTACAGTCACTGGAGAACATGATTTAATCACAGACTTTTCATGGAAATCAGGTGGTTGAAATGTTGGGGAAGGATGAGAGTATCAGCAGATGCTGGACATACATTTTGCAATATGCACAAGTAGTAGAGTAGGTTTTAGAGTAAGTTGCATCTGTAGAAATGTTTAGTTGGTTTCACAGTAGGGCAGAGAAATGCAGCAGCAGAGCTAAAGCTGGTTGTTCATTCTGCACCCCCAGTGTGTGAAGTCAGCAATCAAGGACTTCCCAATAACAAAGCTCACATATTTCTGTTCACTTTCACATTTTCCATGGAAAATTGCCAAACACTAAGATATCAAAACATCTAGTCAGGGTTATATATTAGTTAATATGCTAAATTTAAACACTGAATTCTCACCTGTGTACTCGAGTAACCATTTGATAATCTACTTATAACCATTATCATAAAATCTTGGATATCGAGACCCTTTCCTTGCTCTTTTCCATTATATTCTATTCAATAAAATCCTCTGAAATAATTCTTTGATGTAATATGTTAACTCTCTTGTTAATGAAGCTATTCCAATTGTGAAACAACAGAGAACTTGAACTAGAGAGAGCCTCAGAGGCCTCCAAGACAGTGATGATAATGGACAGTGCTCATTCAGAAGCATACACTGAGCCTTTTCGGCTGTGTGATTTCTAAGTTGGATTTCTATAAGAAATGTGATTCATCATTTCCAAATAGAATGAATTGAATGAGATTTTCATATTGGTAGCTATATTTCAGGTATTTATGTCAGTACATGGAAATAAAAACCTCCCCCATCAACATCAGTATATTTTCTATAAGTTTCCACACTGTCAAAGGCATCATAGCCAATGTTTTTCATGCAAACTTTATACTAAATATCCAGTGTATTTATAGAGTCAGAATGAAAGACACATAAAATGCAAAAATGTTTTATGTATCCTACTGCATGTTTTATATTTAATATAACATGAGATTCAAAGTCTTCATATGATGTAAATGCATGTGCAAATATTTTTAAAAGTTCTTACACATTAATTCATGAAATCATAGGTCTATAGACTGGGGATGTGGCTCACTGGTTAAGAGCACTTGCTTCACATTAATAAAACCCTGAGTTATAATCCATACACTTGGGGAAAATATAAGGTTAGTCTTCACAGATACCATAATGCCAAAGATGTGGGGAGTGTTGACAAGATTTCTAGGGCTAACTGACTTCCAGCTTAGCTCCGGTGTCAGTGAGAGACCTTGTTTCAACAAAATAAGGTGCAGAGTGATGAAACAGGTCACCCACTGAACTACTATGTCCTATATACAAATGTGCATAGGTTAATATACTCTTTCACATACACATGTGAATATGCTACAAACAAACACCATAGAGACATACACATGTACAAAAAATGAAAAGAAGAAAAATTTGGGTCAATATTTTACAATTGTAAAATATTTTGGAACATAAATTAAAAAGTAGCCACAATAAACCAACACAAATTAATGAGATTTTAATAAAAAGAAAACAGTAATATGAAACCTAAGCATTTCTCTTAATGAATTTTGCCAGTGAATCTTGGACTTGCTTATTTCTCAGACTATAGATAATTGGATTCAACACAGGAATAATGACAGTGTAAAATAGGGAGTCCAACATGTCTTGATCATCTATTTTTGGAGATGCAGGGCGCACATACATGAAGAGAAGAGGACCATAGTATAAAGATACAGACAAGAGATGGGCTCCACATGTAGAGAAGGCTTTCTTTATGCCCTTGGCAGATTTCTTTTTTAAGATTGTAAAGAGAACAAGTGTATAAGACACTAGAATCGTCAAAATAGTGAATGCCTGAATTGAACCAGAGAAAACAAAAAGCAATAGAAAATTAAGAGAAGGGTTAGTACAGGAGATTTTTAACAAAGGAATGATATCACAATAAAAATGATGTATTATATTGGTACCACAGAAAGTTAATCTGAATAAAAAGCCTTCATGAATTAAAGCATGAATAAATCCACCTACAAATGACAAGACCAGTAGGTATACACAGAGTCTGTTTGTCATAACCACTGGATAGAGTAAAGGTTTGCATATGGCCGCATAGCGGTCATAGGCCATTGCTGCTAAGAGAAAACATTCCGTGGTTGCACTGATTACAAATGAAAAACATTGCACCATGCATTCAGACAGAGAGATCAGTTTGCTCTTAGCTAAGAAGTTGAGCAGCATTTTTGGTGTCACTGTGGATGACAACCAAGTATCCACAAAGGCCAAATTACCAAGAAAGAAGTACATGGGGATGTGAAGGTGAGGGTCATTCCAGATAAGAGTGATCAGGCCAAGGTTCCCCACAATGGTGATGAGATAAATTACCAAGAACAGCAGAAACAGGGGGCTTTTCCATCGTTGTTGGTGTGTGAGTCCTGTGAAAACAAACTCTGTCCATAATGTTGTATTCTCCTTTCCCATTTCCTCACTGGATGTTTCCTGTAATGAAAGATGTTGATTGTTAAATAGCACTCACTAAGTTGCTTTCAAGTGAAATTCTGGACAGTGGAGTTGAAATATAGCCATATACTTAGAAGAATGCCCTTTTAAATTTATTCAGTGTGACTCTAATAAATGCAAACTATAAATTATATAGAAGAAACTATGTTACTTATTTCAAATTTTAAAATGTAAATAGATTAAATTTTTTGAAGAAATCAAGATCTCTTCTAAACTTTTGTGAAATTCTGTGGGGACCCAGTTGTTTTTGTTGGAAAAAATTTTTATCTATATCTTAGATTCAGAGTCAAAGGCAAGATGTTTTAAGGACCTGAATTATAAAATGAATAGTAGAGCCTTAGCAATTGAAGTATACTTACAAATTTTGTGCAGTTTAACAGGAGAAATATATTTCCATATTAATTTAAATTAATCACACAGTGGTGTTGAAAATGCTGCTGCTCATATATTCATGAGTGTGGGATCATCCACTGGAACATGATCAGCCTAGGAGAGAACACACCCTAAAGAATTCTGACCCTTTTCCAGCAGCCATCAAGTGATAATAGTTCCTCAACTAGAGGTGGGGGCTAATGTGACCCACACCCATCCATCCTGAAATGGCAGCTGTGCTTGCTTGCACATAAGCTGCACAAAAATCAAGCCAATCAAAAACAGAAATTAAGATTTTTTTAAATAAAGTGTTTCACTGTGCAACTTGGCTGACTTAGCACTCTGTGTACATCAGATTAGACTCAAACTCCACAGATTCACCTACCTCTGTCTCCCAATAGACAGGATTAAAAGAGTGTGTCAGCACACCTGATAAAATTGAGAAGCTTTTAATGGCTATGAAGAAAACAGTTTCCTGCGTGTGAGCTTTTAAAAAAATATTTTATATATATATTTTCATGTGTATGAGTCATATTGCCTCCATGTATATGAGTGCATCCATGTTGTGTAATGCCTGCAGAGGGCAGAAAAGGCTGTTGGATCCCCTGGAACTGGAGTTAAGGACAGTTGTTAGCTGCCATGTGGGTGCTGGGATTCAAACCTGTGTCTTCTGCAAGAACAACCAGTGTTCTTAACCACTGAGCCATTTCTCCAGCCCCTGAATGTGAGAGATTTGATGTTAACAAAATAGAGATAATGGGAAAGAAATAGAAACACAATAAAGGAATGCCATGGGACAGTCTAAGACATGTGGAGGACAGTGGCCACTGGTCTTATGCTCCTAGATTAATATTATCTTTAACCTAAAGAAAATACTAGGAAAAACTTTTAAAAGAAAAGGAAAAACAAGTAGAGAGAAAAAAATTAAACAGAAAAATTACATCAAAATTATAAAGAGAAACGTGGTCGATGAAGATAAAATGAAAGGTGTGAAGAGAAGCAGTCAGAGGGAAATAAAGATAGAAAGGCAGAAGCTTCAGAGAATTAAAACAGACAAAAAGGAGAGGAGAGGCAAGTTACTGAGGCTTGGGTTTCCATGTTTGTCTTAGGCTTGGAAGTATTTATTATTAACAGGCCCCAAATTCTTTAAATTTCTCTTTTGCATAAATCAAAGTATTCATGTCTATAGAAAAATCTTTATAAAATAGATGTATTAAATTTATTTTAGTAATTTTGTGTAGTTAGGATATTTGCACAAATATCGTCACTGCCTAGAATGTGTTCCTTTATTATATGCTGCACTTCCATTGTGAAAACAATTAGGAACAAAAATTTCTCTTCAAATCTTGCTTGTATTATTTGAGAACACATATTCTCACACAAGGGCAACACTTTTATTGTTTTAATTCTTTTTAAAAGAGTACAATTGAGTCATACTGACTCGTGTATACAGTTGACATAAGCAGTGCCAATATTTACCATTCTTAGGTAAAGTTTGTAGGGATACTTTTCCTTCCATGCAATCTTCAAAACACCAAAAAGAGAAAATTCTCAAACTCGTTGGCATTTAGGAATTCATAAATATAGGAAAGGATATTGTGAAATTTTTTCTACATATCTAGATATAAATCAAGTTATGTATTGTTTATATATCAAGGTATAATCTGTGCTCCAAATATTTATGTAAATATATATGACTATTATTACAAATATATATATATATAGCAAGCAAGATAGTATCATCAGAAGATCAAGATTTTTATAGATGAGTTGGTATATAAGTAATTTCATTTAAAAGGTTTATTAGAGAATGTGATTAAGGAATGTTCTTTGCTGAAATCATCAGAATAATTGCTTATCTAACAATCATTATGATCATCTTAAGTTAGATTCTAGTTCCTGGGATCTTAAAAGTTATAATGTTTAGGTTATAAGACATTAGTGAAAAGTTCAATAACTATGCTTATATATTTTAGCAATGAAGTTAAAATGTACATATTCTTTTGTTGTTGTCTTCAATTATACATAGCTATATAGAGATCCAAACCCAAATGTAAAATTACTATGAAAGAAAATCATTTACAGCTTTCTTAGGAGAGGATAATGCATCTTATAAAACTCACTTCACTGTTAACCTAATTTAAAAGAATTACAGCCGTCCTTCACAAATCATTGGGCTTCAAAAACAGAAAAGAGCACCACAGCTCAGGAATGCAGTGATAGCAGCAGTTCTTTCCACAGTGATTCATTTTGAAATGTCATTGTCCAGACACAGGAAATGTTTATCTGAATTTCTGTCACAAAAGATTAAACCAAATGTGATCTCACATGCTTTAATAGAAGGGAGGGCTGGAGAACTGAAATTCCCATTAGAGCCCTTGGGTTCTATGGAAGAAAAAGTGAGGCTGCTGTACTGGGCACTGTCAATTATGGATGGGTACTTGAAGTCCAAATTGGTCCCAAAGGACATCACATAGTTTAAAATTATAAAAATTGATTTAGTGTAAAAGACTCATTTTTATCGAATTTTTGGGATTTTCAAATAATATAGTTTGATATTTAGATCCCACCCCATCCTCACTTCCCCCACAAACTGACCCTGCCCAATTTTATTTTTATCAATTGAAGTTATACTTTATGCTATTGTGTTACGCCACCTATGTCATTTCTGTAAAGTTTTGACAAAGTATATGTATACCCTTTCCTACTCTGGGGGCTTTGATTAATATGGTTTTGTTTGAGTTAATTCAAACATGACTTTAATATGTCCAGTTATCTAGACCTCAGCTTATTTAGCTGTGGGTATGATCCTATGTAAGACTGTGAAATATTTGGCAATCATAAAAGTTTTCTGAATATGTAACCACAAAAGATCATCAAATCTAAAACATGTAATGAATTTGTGATACTTCTAGCACTACTTAATTTAGTTGAATCTGGACTGGACTTCAACTTGGCTCTGAAAACAGACATGCAATTTGTACTGCAAATGCCATTATCCTAAGCAACATAAAAAGGTGTTGCCTGAAACAGGTAGGTTAAGAATCTAGAGCATTTCATGTTTCTAATTGCAACACTTATTGTGCATACATAACTTTCTTTTATATATTTTATTAAATGAGCACTTCATGCATGCATAAAATGGATTTTCTTAATGTCAACTCCCCAGTTCCCAATCTATCAATTACTCTCCTATAGGCACCACAATCACTCCTTCAGAACCTCATTTTTTTCTTATTTTATTAACGTCACTGAGTCTACCTAAGTGCTTCCCAGATGTGCATGGGTACAGAGCATGAATATGCTCTAAAGGGGCACATCTCTGAAGAAAAATCACTTCCTTCTCCCAGTAGCCATTAGTTGCCATTTAGTTAATGTTTTGGCTCTCCATCCATCTTTTTGTTTGATCTACTCAAATTTTCATTTCTAGTTTTGTTTCAATTTTCTTTTTTTTCAGAACTTCTATCTCCTTATTAGATTCTATTTTATATTTGAATTGTTTTATTTCATTCAACTGCTTATATTTTGAGATCTTCATTGTAACACTTACATCCTCTTTGACTTCCTTCTACATATTTACAATGACTATTTTGAAATAATTATTTTTGCATATCTAAGTTGTGTTTCACTGGAAACATTACTATGAGAATACTAATTTAGGGGGGAATACATTTTGTCTTTGTTATTTATGCTGTTTGTGATTTGGGGACAGGAGCAAAACATCTGAAGTTAGGCCAGGTACCTTCTGTGAGGTATGTTGTGATCCCGCACCCCCCTGCTCCACTGTTCTTACCACAACAGACAAGACCAACACAATGTATTTAGGTTTTCTTACAGAGTTTATGATGTCCGGGAGGGGATTGCTTACAAAGGCATGGACCCAGATACCTGTGTGATTTTTATCCCTACACCTCAGCTTAGCTTCCTAGGTCCATGACAGCTGGTGCCCTAGCCACCAGATGGCAGAACTCATGCCACCTTCCTGGCTTCCTCTCTCTCTCTCCTTAGACCCTTTCCCTCTTGCAATTGAAATTGACCAATTGGTTGGGAGTAGTAACTGTTTATCTTCTTTTCTACGGAGTCTTTCAGGGTTCAGACATCCAGCCATTGCTAGTTCTTTCAGAGGACATGCCTATCCATCACTCAACCCCTTCCTCCAGCTCTCACAATGTTTTCTGCCCCTATTCTGCAAGTCCCTGAGACTTGGAGGGGGTGAAAGATGCAGGATGATCTTTCTTTTATTGGGTCAAGATATTGAGCCCTTGGGTTGTCTCAGCATTTATTACCAAGATGTGGTTGCTGATCCTTCTCAGTGGTATCTCTCCAACTATAAAGAAAATGAAAGGAAGTAGGAGTATCTAAAGTTATTGATGGTAAGATACCTTATTCAGGTGTATAACAATTGCAGTGAGTTCCCCCCAGACCCTATAACATTCCCTGACACAGGGATTTAGCCTGGTCTACATCACCAGATGTGTGTTCCACCCCTAGGACCAGGCCTTATCCAATTAGAAATTTGTTGGTTGTATGTATATTAGTTGAGCCATTATTGCACCAGCAGGTATTGCTTGGCATGTCAATGGCATGTAGCACAT